ACCTGCATGAGAGGAGTTCCGGACCCAGTTAAGTCTTGCAAGACCTGGACCATGAAATGCATCATACTGTGAAGTTGCTGTTATGTACGAGTCCGGAATGGAATGGTCCCCAAGTCCCAGAGGTGAATCACAACTTCCTGATAATAAGAGGCGCACATTAATGAAGTCCATAAAAACATTCTGAGACATAATTAAACGCCAAATAAACATTGCATATTGATCAAGTTATTTAGGAATTTTTAAAAAGACTTATATGCATAGCCGACCACAGTAGAATTAGCTCGTGATTGTTCTTCTGCCATCAAGTGGGTGTCCGGATGTTTCTAAACACAAGTAAACATGCCGCAAACTTGGAACAACTTTGTGTAAATTTCGGTGGTTTTTTTTTTTTTTTTTTTTTAAGGGAGACGATGGGCATATTTCACTCAAATTGTTTTTATTAAACTATGAAGATTAAAATGCCCCTGAAGCTCCCTGATTGGAATTTCGGTGCCCCCTACAATTGTGTTTGATGCCATGAAATCTAGTTTGCCCAAATTTGAATACATAGTGTCAAGACATTTTGGCATCAGATTTTCAGTCATGATTCTGCACCAACATTAAATCTGGAGCGCAATTCGTCAATAAATTTTTTTATTTATATCCCATTTTCACCATTTTCAACATCTCATCATTGCTGTCGTTATTCTGTTCGAAACGCGATCGCCGTACGTTGTATTTCATGAAATGCTGTTGTAAATTGACTCAAGATTATATGATTGAAGTTTTAAAAGAAGATGAATACACAAAACTCACCTTTAACGAACCAAACTCCGAAATGTTCCTTTGAAAAGACAAACGCGGTGTTGATATTGACTAAATGTGAAAACATTTCAGGGGAAACGATATTTTTCTTTTTGAAAATTAAAAAAAATCACTAGGAATTGTTACAAACCTTTTGAATCCAGAACAGCAACATATACACGAAAGATTTTGCTTTCATTCTCGTGAAATATTTCAAAAGTTTGAACAAACGGCGTACTTCGGGATTAAGATCTTTTCCCGAGTCTTTATCAACTTAGATAAATTATTAATCATGATTCTGGGCAATTCGCTTTGTTAAAATAGTCTTCAAGTATATATGATTTGTTTCGGTTTTACGTCAAAGGGTTTGCATTATGTATCATTATCATCTCAATCATAGCGACCAAAAAACTGATATCTAGGACAGTTTTACCCAGGGCGAGCTTTCATCGATTTGCTGCCCCGGTCTTGGTTATTAAAAGTATGTAATAGTGATTTGTGCTATTTGTGCGGACACTTAAAACTGAGACCTCAGTTTTAATGCAATTATGTCATCAAAACCGAACGACAGCGTGCGCACAGCAGGTTGAATTGCTTGTCAAAATTTGTCCTCCCTTTTCTGTCCTTTGGATCTCTCTGGAAAGTTCTCTTCAGTTAATCAATCTGAGTGTTTGCATTCACATTTTCTGTGCGTTTGAAAATCTTGAGTGTGATTAGATTAAAGAAAATTTAACCCTGGACACACTGATAAAGGAGAGTCTTTTTAGTAATTTTATAGGTTATCATTTACAGAAAAATAGTAAATTATTTTTAGTGAAATTTTCCAAAGTTTCGCTTCAGTTCAAAGGTCAGCCGATGCAAAGAATTTTGGGAGCACCTTGAGAAGAGATGGGGTTGTTTCCCCGGCATGCATTGCACGATACTTAGCATATTTCTAGAAGCGTTTTCAAATACACTGTTATCATAAATAACAAACGCCTAGCTTTGTCAGTAACGACTAAAGAGACCACGCCAGGCTATTGCAGAAATCTATACAGCTTCTGCATGAAGGCTGGCCCCAGTTACAATTTTGTTTATCAGGTTACCGAAGAAAGCTTCCTGGATGTGGTAGTCGGAAACAATTTTCTCGTGGCAAATAATGCATTAAAAAATATTTATTTATTCATTCATCCATTCATTCACTCTTTCAAGTATATATTCATACGTTTATTATCTGTAAGCTTTCTTATTCATCTATTTGATAATTTATTTACATATCTATTTAATGGCGTATATATTCATTTATTATCGGAAGTTCTTCAGTTGCGTACCGAAAAAAAAAGACGAAGGTTTTATATTCGTGACATTGAGCCGACAAACAAACTTTATATGTGAGAACGAACCGATGAAAACTCAAAGGAAATACACGTGACCTGGGAAAATTAAAAGATACTCACAAGATAAATCAAGCTGACTAAGAGGATTTATTGATATATGCCGCAAGTTTTTTCGTGAGTTTCAACCACAAAAATGCCTAGCAAAGGAATACGAACTTAAATAATTGTTAAAGTAACTTAACACAAAACTGTTTTATTTCCCGTTTGTAATAAATAATTAGGCTGGTCTTTAGAAAGATATTAAAGCCTATGCACAGGTAGGGTCTAACTTCTTCATTGATGTAAGAATGAAAATGACGAGGCCGTAAATTCACATATAACTATTAGGCTTAAAATTTCCTGAGCACAATATACTCATTCGTGACCCCGATCTATTTATTTGGATAAAGAGTTGGTCTTTCTTATAATCCTATACATGTTTACTATCTTTTCGTGAATCCCAAACAAGGGCCTAAGGAATGCTAACTTTTCAGCTTCAACAAGCAAAAAATATTTTAAAAGAAACCTTTTCCAAGATTCCAGCGCAAACGTGTTACGGTATTTATTTAAGAAAAGAGCGAGCCGTTTATGATGTCAAAATTTTATGTTTCGAGCGCGAAATTAAAATGGCGTTCCTGATAACTTTAATGAAAGTAGAATTGAAGGGAAAAGGTTATCTTTAGAAAATTGTTATTTTATTTTGGAAGAAGTCGACGCTTTAAGCAATGTGTTTAGGCGAATCTCGGTTGGTTATATCTGTCACTGTGGGTGACTGATTACCTTCGCAATAAGACTACACATATTCCTCTTTAGCTCACGGCTGCCTCACTTTTGAGAGGCAGAAATTCAGCCAACACGGCCCTAAAAATTTTGGTGAGACGTTTTGCTGAAAAGCGTACTAGACCTGAAAATGAGGCAGGTGATTAAATCATTAATTAATATACTGCAAACCCTTAAATCCTTGGATCCAAGTGAACAAAATTTTGGCTAGCATGACAGCAAAAACCAAAATATATTGTTCTGAGCCATGCTTTTATAGATTTAATTTCTCGAACAGTAGGAAAAGAAAACATCAGGAATAACGATAAATAATAAAACACCAATAAGCGAGATGATATCTAATTTAAAAAGAGGTAAAAGCTCCATGTTTTTGTGGGTCAATAACTGAATAATCTTTAGGCCAAAGGTCGCGAACTCCACACCTATCGGCTTAGAAATTCACCGGATCTTCTCACTTTCAAGTAGTTTAAAATCATATTCACCAGTTGAAAATAGTGTATTTATTTACTTATAAATTTTGTGTAGTTCCAGTTTTATTAGGCGGAAATATTGTAAACAAGAGAATGCTTTGCACAACATCTTTTTTGGAGTTTAAAGATATCTTTCACAGACTGACAAGTCGTAAAAAGAAACAGAAAATGAACTCGCTCCAAAAAATGTGGGGTTAAAATGAATGCAAAAGACCGATCAAATAGATTTTAACATTTACTGTATAATGAAATAATTTGATTACCGTTCCTAAGTCAATCTTGATTCAGCGATGTTGAGTGCAAGTTCAACCGAATTTCTATCATTGCATGACTTGGTGTCAAAATAGCAAAAATAGTTCTAAGGTGTTTATCCATAACTGAGAACGCCTGCATTAACTGCGTCAAAAGCGTTCTTTTCTGGACTATTATTATCTAGTTATTGCACTAATACCCAACAGTGATTTATCAGAATCGTTGATCTGACCAGCCTGATTCAGATAATGTTATTAAAAGATAGCGGTGAGTTGGAAATCTGTCTTCATAGGAAATGGGCAAAGTGTAAATAGTTTTGTCATCATTTCAAAACATGGTTCTTTAGGTGACAGTTGTTGCCGACCGTAATAGATCACTCCAATTTAAACATATTACGCAATAACAATGAGTATTCAAAAGCTTCAATTTACAAACTTGTTCAGTTGCTCTCAGGCAATAAGGAATAAAATAAGTTTTCTGAAATTCATATGTTTTCCTTAAGGAAAGCTGGAAAACGTCCTGTTCGTTTCTAAAAATTGCGGAGTATTCTATTTGAGATAAAATCAAACTTTTCACAATTTCAGATGGTGTTTAGTAAAATATGTGCAATAATAACTATATGCCAATGTCTCTGGAAATGAAAATTGTTCAGTTTCCTTGAGGTGTCAAGCCCCCTAAACTTTATTTCATAAATTTCCTCAAAACAAACAAACCGAACTTCTGACGCACTAAATACCCAAAGCTCATTCAAAAGGTTGCAGTGATTTCCATGATCAAATGCTGGCCATAAGGCTTAATTTGATGTCCCTAAAAACCAATTAAAAAAGTCATTATAACAAGTTAAATGGCTCTATCTATTACGCTGCGAAAATGACGACATAAAGGTCTATTGATAACCATGGTTTCCCCGACAACTGTGATCCATATTAGTTAATTGAAATCCTTACAATGGCAAAATTAGAGAATGAGAAGAATCGATTTTTCGAAACAAAAACCTCACGCGTCTTATCCCTTAATTCCAATTATAGAGTTCTTATGGCAATAACAAAAATCTTTTGTCTGCAAAACAAACATGGTGCAGATGGCTAGCGTGTTAAGGCTTCTTTTGAGCTGTTGTAATTATAAGCCTAAATTGCCTCACCTCGTATCTTAACAAGATTTTGCAAGGTAACTTATGGCTCACTAAAATTTTATGAATAGCTGTAACGACGTTTAATTACCAATTCACTGCTCATTATTATGTAATTAGCGTGTTCATTTATCTGTTTGATCTTGAACTCTGAAATAAATCCGAGAAAATCATCGATCCCATATGCCACTTCTGGGGTAAATCTCGAGCAATAAACAGTATTAAAAAGAAATGGATCTCAAGCAAACGGAGAGTTATTTTCGCGGCTACGTTTTTCTTCCATGCTGCAACGAAGAGCATTCGTATTTTCATGGGTATCAACCCAGTTATTACCCCTCGCAAGTTTCAAAATGTGACGCCATTTTACAAACAAGAAGAGATCATCAAGTTTCTCATACATCCCGGTTTACGCCACACAGTGGTGAATATCGGTTGTTATTGCCCGCCACTCAGAGGGATCCACGACCACAGCCAAATGAAATTTGCCAACATAAACTCAGCGTAGGAAATTTGCCTGAGAAGGCATTATCAAGAGGTAATCACTTGAAATAATAGTTTTAATGTTTTTCTTACATCTCTTTTGGTAATTTGCCTCTTAGACTAATTTTACAAACGTCGAAAATTAGCTAACTTTATAATGGACAAAACACCCAAGAGTGCATGACCTTGTTAAAAAAACTGCACTCGGCCTTTCTTGAATATCGCTCATCTTTAACATACTGCACACAAACTTGAGAAACACAGAGAAGCCTTAAATAATAATTGGATGACAATAAGTTTGAATGCAACAAAAATCTTACCTCACTATCGCAGATTTTCGCGAACACCGAGGTTTGAAAACGGAGGCTGGATACAAAAGGAAGCGAAACCGCACAATCTTCACCACAGACCAGTTGCAGCGGCTTGAAAATGAGTTCGATCGTCAACAGTATGTAGTTGGTACTCAAAGATTTTACCTTGCTGCTGACTTGGGGCTGAACGAAACACAGGTTAAAGTCTGGTTCCAGAATCGCAGAATCAAGTGGAGAAAAGAGAATTTAATTCATCTGGGAAGCTCAAAAAGTAACTGTGAAGCAGAAAACTTACATTTGTAGAAAGAAACAATGTCTTGTGTAATTTTAAAAATAGATTGCGTTGTTTTCAAGAAAAATGTAGAGAGCAAATCAAATTTTTATAATAGGGCTAGAAACCAGTAGCGAAGTAATCCTAATCAAAGATGTTATATGGAGATCTGTAGTTGTTTCCTGCAGCTTTCAATAATTCCAGTGAATCTTATTTCGATAAAATTTCAACTCCTTATACTTCCTTTTCAAACGTCGCGTCTAATTGAATATTTGACCCTATCACTCTCGGAAGAAACCAAAAGATAAATTTATCCTCACACTAGTCAATACGTGGTCAGGTAGACATGAAGTAATGAAACGAAAGAGAAATATAAGCTAGTTGGTACTGTTTGGTTTAGGATCATCTGCAAGAACCTAAACTATAATACTGTAAACAGATGAGAGGTCTTAGTGTTAAATCATCTACATTATTTCAGAGAAAAGACAGTTTGTAGGAAGGAAGATCTATTACTGAGTCAGTTTTGCACCAGCTCATTTACGCCGAGTCCTGCGGAGCCTCAAACCATAGGATTATCAAAATTCGTTGGCAAGTAACAAGCATAAGCAAAACTTTGAGCGAAATTAGGGGGGGGAGGACTATACGCGCTCCCTTTCTTAAGGAAGTAGTTCTATATTATACCAAGTGAACTCTAAATAAGCAGGCGGGCGGGCTAAACAAATAAAATGAACATACGAAGTATTTCATCAAGTTTTATTGTCTTATGAAATTTAGCAGAAAAGCTGTAAACACGGGACGACGAAGCTATTAGCCCGAAGTTCGTCATACGTGATCCGCCTTAATCTTTTCCATCGTAACTCATCATCGGTTGTCTTTGATTCAGTCTTGACTCTTTGGGTTTTTTCCTTATCTAGACCGTTTCCATTTTGAGGTACGCTATACTTTTTAACACAATTTTTTTTATGGGTTGTCCTCTTCAAAATGTAATACTTTCACTTCGAAACAGGACTTAAACGACCTAAAACGCGTGAAATTTATTCGACATCGTAAATGAAAGGATTCCCATTTTTTACTTTACTATCAGAAGCCAATTTTGACAACTATGATCGCGGAAATTATCAAAAGAGCTTTGTTTGCAAAAGAGCAACATATCTGACCCGATACTCCCCCACCGGGAGGGGCAGGGGCTGTCGACGTTGCACTTGCTTCTGTGTGAGTAGGGGTAGTGGTTTTTGTTTCTTCTTTGATTGGTAAAACGTTCTGGCTAAACTGGAAACGATAATTTCCTGGAGGAGAATATCTAATCACCAAAACAAATCTGCCATCCTTTCTGGTGGCATATGCTGCTCCTATCTGTTTTGTGTTTTTCCACACAACCTGTAAGAAATATTTGAAAAAAATTAAAACTAGATAAACATTTGTAACTCTATCTTATCAATAAAACGTCAGGAAAAGTGCAAGGCTCTCTTTTCTACAAATTATCTTTGACTGAGACGAGCGATGACTGACTTTGAATCACGAAGCAACTGGCTATAGCGAATGTCCTTCTGATTGCAATGCTGATTAGTTCAGTTTGACTTACCCAATTCAAGTATTTTCTCTGTGGCAGACTTTTTTCACGAGTTCGTAAGTTCAATTACCTGAGTGAAGTGACCTGTCCTTTGAGAAAATCCTGGGTTGTTATAGTCATAATATTTGACCTCATCGTAAAAAGCTTTCGTTGCAGAGGTACAGGGTTCCATAGGCTTGCGAGAGGACAAATATAGGTTCTCTCCCACCGGGCTGTTTGCTGCGTGTTGAAACAGATTGTTTTCTGCCAGATAGTTCGCCCAGGATTGTGCACCTTGCGCGAGGTTGTCGCTCCAGACTAAAGGGCCGACCTACAGTTTAAAAATGAAATTTTCAGGAATTCAATGCTGGTGTAAGTTTGAAACTGTCGAAATTCGAAGTCTTCGAGATAACGGATTTAAAAATAAATATATAAATATAAAGGTATCAGATATACATAATGGAAACGACCACAAAATTTACTCGTATATGTATAATCTGCATTACCTTTCGCTCATCAACTGAGGTCACTAATTGACGCCCACGCTCAGCGAATTCTTTGTTAAATTTTGAGCTCGGGATTTGTATCGCAAGAGGGTTGATGAGGTCTAGGCCCAAATCACCAAGTACGCATAGAAATAGACACCCAATAATCTAATTGTCTTGACAAAAATCTACAAGTGGTTCAAAGGAAAGCGACTGTCAAGCTTCGGCAAAGAAAGCTTGAAGTTTCTATTTCGAGCTGTTTCACTTTGTTTGCAGCTTAAGTTTTTGAATACAGGCTTATAATAATTTACCTGGTGCCTACTGCGATATTCATTATGCCACTTCACACACTGATCTTTGAATGAGAGAGCTGCATCCGCTACAAGTAATAAAGTGAAAAATGTTATTGAAGAATAAAGGAAAAACAAACAGACAAAATTATAAACGAAATAATAAGAAAAATACACAATTTATATATAGAAGAATCAATCGATGAACCAGTAATGAAATGAGAGAGCAAGGTGAAAAAAAAACTGAGCCGGGAAACGAAGAACATTTACCGAACGATCAAACAATAGAGTCGAAGACGAACGATCGAGCAAATTATTTCCGAAAGGATCCGGAATGAAGATAATTATGTGAATGTATCGCGTAAAAATTCAACCGCAGAACAACTGCATGTCAAGGCCGGCTTCCCTGCTTAATTCAGCATCATTTGAATTTCGTGACTAATTAGGAAAAATAGCAACAAACCGCTTAAGGCAATATAACAAATTTGAGTGGCTGCAAGTGGGCGAAGAGGGCTTTACAAAACAAATGCTCGCTAAAGAAATGTTTAAAGCAAACCGAGAAAGGCCGGTGGTTGAAAATAAGCTTGTAAAATGTCACCTCTCTGCTATTAGAGCAGTTATGGTACTTTCTTTTCAACTCACCGCTTTAGTTCCTAGTTTTATTCAGAGCGACTGCGTTTTCCGTCGATTTTCAACATTTACTTGCAAATTCGAATATTGGAAACTAAAGTACGATTGAAAACATCTCGAAAACTACAATTAAGTTTCTGTTTCATGCATGAAGCGAAATGTCACGGCAAGTTTTCATGCGTCGCTTATCTAAATAAGTTTAAATGAGTCCATGAGCATCATGCATAGAGTAAGTGAAAATGTACCACTTTTATATATGAACAGAATCAAAACAATTAACGTGTCTGCACGTGATACAGTAAATAGTCCGTTTAAGACTCTGATTCCAAACAGACGCGCTTGAAACTAGACATAATTGTCCTGAGCATCAAAAATAAGCATCGGGAAAGGAAAACCGAAAAAAAATTGCCGAGCGACATGCATGAGTTGCAATATTTCTTAAAACATGCTGTGACCTGCAAGTGAAATTTCCGCCTACTAAAAGACTCAAATGAGATTTGAAAGGATCTTACCCTTGTCAAATGCGACATTGAGAAACATGAACGTAGTTATCAGTAAATCAGTCCAGTTCATTGTAGACCTAAGAACCGGTACCCCTCTTCTCCAGTGGCTGATATGATGCGATGTGGTGCGTGTGTATGTTTTAGCTTAGTACCGCTCAGCTGTCGAGTTATTTATAACTGCTATACTTGAGTTAAAATAGACAGATAAATGTATTTGCATAAAATATAAACATAAGTTTTGTGGCATCAGAAGTTTATTTTCGATTGCCGCGGTCACGAATGTTAAAAAGTAACGAAGTAGAAGTTCGTAATATTTCGTACACAGCCGTCCGCTCTCAGAAGATAATCAAAAGTGGCCTTCTGTCTAAATTTTCCTTGAAGGCGAAGTGCAGGAATGAACGATAGAAATGCGTAGTCGCCATGGCGAAGATTAACGGCTACCAGTGGACAGCCACAGCAGGTGTCAGAAAACCTACCTGCTGATTATTGGTTCCAGTATTTTTATTTCACAGTTTCATACCAAGAGTCGTAAATGGTTGAAATCAGGTCAGAACCAAATAATAAATAAAATAATCAAAATAACAAACAGGAATCTTCAAATTTGCTTTCAACTTTGAAACAGTTCTTACTTATAATCGGTAAATACTTGATTTCTCTGATGAACTTTCAAAATTAGGAATGTTGTATAAGGAAGATCAAAGATTTCCACAAGCTCATGCAAGACCCGCTGTGTAAGATTATTCGAGTGCAGATCTCTTAACATAATCAGTTTAAGGAATGTACTTTGAATAGTATGCCTTTATTGTATTTTTTGGATTTTTCAAATGGAAAGAGCCGAGTGACGCGCCACGCGCGGGTTGAGAAGCTCCTCAATCCACCCGCGACCCGCCCTCGCATTCTCCTCGCATTTTCATGCACTCGAATGAAATACGCAAAAGAAACGCCTGTTCTACACCCTAAGAGCACGATTTTGAAATTAAGTGTTTTTAAATTATAAATTCGTTTGTAAAGAGATGAAAGAAAAACGCCAAATGGGCCTCTATTAATGGTGACTATAAATCAGATTTACTTCGCTGCCTGCACGTAGAGGTAAGACTCTCTTAAGGCAACCATTACATAATATTGCATAAAATGTCACTATGTTACGATCAAAATCTGCCAGACCTGGTAACATACAATGCATTCATGTATTTTTAATTTCACCGGGTCAATAACATATTAGTCAGAGAGTCAGAGAGGAAATTTGGTGCTCTACCTACCAAGTTACGTCAATTGCCTGGCAAACAAAAGGTACTTACCTACGTACAAATCACTTGGAAGAAGAAAAAACGCGATAAATGTAAGAAACATTTTCTCAGTACTGGTTTTGTTTGGTCGTCATTGCGGCATACAGTAAGATGAGATCAGAAAAGGCACATCCCACTATTTGGGACGTTTGTCCGTCAACATTGGCGACAAAGCAATAAAAAAGCTCCCCTGCGGCGTCGACAAAAATTTGGATCGGACCGGATCGGATCGGATCACGGACTGAATCAAGGATCGGGTCGCGTAAACCATATGCTAAACTGCGTAAAATCCGCAAACAGAAAAGAACAGCAAAACCGAAAAACCGAATTAAAAATAGCCAAAACCCCAAAACCGAAAATCCCAATGCCCCCCTCCTGATTGAAGAATGATATGTACCTTTCACTTGCCTTTGTCCATGGCGGTATTACACAACACTCCTCGACATAGCCGTGAAAGAGACTACATAGAGTTGTGGGGCAAAAAAACTTTCAAATGGACTGGCACTTCATTATGTCACGCAGACTCTATTTTGGCTTGTTACGCAACATCTCTAATATTCATTGAAAATATTTTAATTTTTTCACATCCCCTTTTTTTTAACTCTTTATTATTTTGTAAACGATTTGATTGTGTATTTTCAAAACTCTTCTTTTTTCCGGACCGTGATCCGATGCGTCAGGTTTTTGGGAAAAAAAAAACTTTCAGTGGGGCCTGCGTTCAATTATGCCACGCGGACCTTATTTTGGCTTGTCACGCAAAAGTTCTAATTTCATTTGACAGGATCCGATCCATGATCCGCGATCCGATCCGTCATCCGATCGGTGATCCGGTCCCTGATCCAATCTGTGATCCGACCCGGTCCGATCCAGATTTTGTCGACGCCGAGCTCCCCTAAGAAAAATCCAGAATCCTGAAGAAGAATCGATGAACTAGAACTAAACATTGTCTGCAAGATTTATCTTCTTCCCAAACATTGGGGAACGACGCTGCGATGAACCCTGCCCTGATTAACAAACAATTCATCGTTGTTGGAAATTTAAAATTCTGTGCACATATGCAATAACTAAACTTTGCGTTATCTATCAATCAATCATCTGAGAAGGGGTGCAAGGAAAATGTGCGCCCTCTCGTTGGGAGGCATGTGTCAACAACCCCACAAATCTTTGCGAGCCGAAACTTGTGTGGCAGAGAACTGGGCCGAGTATTCGAGCGGAAAATTCGAAAATCGTTTGGTTCTCAAACTATCAGTTTGCCTTTGGGAAATAGGCATTTTTTTGTCCTAATTCATTAAAAAGTCAAATGTCTAAGAAATCAAGAGTGGTAAAGACGTATGGAAGGCATAAACATCGGACTGTGAAGGCTCAAATTTGGCTGTCCCCTGACGAAAATGTTCATTCCCCGTTTGGAAACGGTTTCCCCTCCAAAATCGAAGCAAGCTCATCGAAAAATGTTTTCAAGCCGAAGTCGTCAAAATGGTGAGACACATCTCTGTTATTCCTGGTTAAAACAGCCTCGTTTTACCGAGGAGAGATGAGAACCTTAATCGGAGCAAATCGATGCATGACATTCTCTGAACTCTATCGTCCAATGGTTTTTTGTCAGGTGGAATTTTGCGACAAAACCACATTTCCGAGCTAAATTGCGATCTCCCTGTTTACAAAAATTCACTGGAAAAATGGAAACAAATGACAAGAAGTGTTTTATTACTTGTAGGCAATTTAATGGTTGAGTGTTTTATTTTGTCAGGTCCAAGCACTCGAACAAAGTTACAACCTCACGAGCTTCATCTGCTTACGAAAGCTGTGCGATTCCAATCGTTGAGAAACAAGAACTTATAATAATCGATGACAAAGAAAACAGCCATACTTCAAATTCGTCAGCTGATGACCAAAAGGAGAGGAAGTTCAAAAGGAAAAGGCAAACACTATTCAGTAATTGTACGCCGCTATCAACACAAAAAGGTTCAAATGTTGATTCAACTTGTCCGTCGGAAAGTGAAAAGTCGGTAGTCAAAACACCTGAGGTTGTTTTGGTGAATGATAGTTTAGAGATTAGAGAGAAAAGCACCCGCCATATTCACGATGTCATTTGTGTTGAAGACAGCGTAGAAGATGTTGTTTTTCAATCTGGTTGCAATAACCCAACAAATTTAAGTATAAATACGTCAAATGGAAAGCCAAATTTGAGTGGAAATGCTTCTGTATTCAGCGATTGTTCTTCAATATCAAGAGATGGAGAAAATCGCGATTTAGGAAATAAAGACTGCATCCAACTTAACAAAAACAACAACGCAGTTTTTCAATTTGACAGCTGCCACTCAACCTATGCCACTTCAACTCCAGTATTTAATGGTGACAATTATTTAGCAATTGGAGGAGTAGGCCAATCAGATTCCCAAAACTCTTATTCAATAGATGGTAAGGTTATTTTGGAACCAATTAGAATCACACCAATTCAGTGGGAGAAATCATTGTTATTGTTATCTTCAACTGAAAAACCTAGCAACAAGAAAACTAGCCAGTTGTCATCTGATGAGCACAAAAATTCAGTTGCACTTAAAACTTTGAGCTTAACCAGCAGTGACAGGACATCCAAAGAGATGAAAGAGTGTGTGGTTTCCTTGGAGAAGTTGAGGATAACACCCTTAAAAAAGAAGGGTAAATATCTCACAGCAACATTATCTGGTGATGGAAGCCTTCCATTCATTAACAGAGGGAAGTCCCAGCTCTCATTTGCTGTAAGTGCACTCCTAACCGTTGAAGAAATGATGATGATGATGATGATGATGATGATGAGCAGAATAATAATTTGCTATATGATAAGCTGAATGATACACACATTTTGATTGGTTTTAAGTTAAGATCTTTTAGAGGACTGACACATGGATGATGTCACCATGTAAATCAGATACATCCAATAATGCATTGCCATGTATCTAAAAAGTAATAGATTGCAGAAGAAGTCAGAATGTTGTAAGAACATCAGTGTCTCAATTAGCTGCACCTCATTTGCCACTTTTTTCTTCTTGCCACATTTTGACAACATCAGTGATCTGTTATTCAACAGATGCACCTCAACATGGAATCTATTTGCTAAATGCATAATCAATTTTATGTTTTGCATGCGACATACAATATATTGGAGTACACAAGTTTCTTCTATTTAATCAGCTCATTTTAAAATGATACTTACGATTTTAATTTCTTACATTTTGAAGGAAGCTTTAACTCCAGTCAAGAAAAACCTTACCAAAACAAACTTTGGAAAGGAATCTGAAGAAGTAAAAGAACTCACTAATTTTGAGAAGGTCCTGATGGAGTGCAATCAAGAGAGACCACTGAAATTTTCAGAAATCTTAGACAAGAGGTAAGCATTGGTGCTACCTTGATATCACAGAAACAATTTGCATTCTTCATTCAAAAAGAAAAGTATGAAATCCAGAAAAGAGAAATAACAACTAGATCTTAGGAATTGAAGAACTAAGTTACAGAACCAATGAAATTAAATTACACTGCTGTACATGATGAGGCTGTTACAACATGTAATTTTTCTTCTTTACAGTTTACTGGAGAGTTGTGTTAAAATTGGAGAGGGAGTTTATGGAGAAGTATTTAAATCTCAGTATAAAAATGGACAATCAATTGCACTGAAGGTGAATTATACTGATTTTTGTCTATTATAATGAAATCAACACTTCTGGCCACAGGCAATAAATTGTGTCATAAACAGGGGTGTAGTTTAGTTTTTTGTTCTCTTTTCGTTTGTGTCAGGCTGTGATTTGGCAATTCAGCATTATTCCTGGACACTATTTTGAAAAGCAATTTCAATTACAAAATTGTCCAATCTAATTGGTTTACTCAGCTGGCAATTAACAAAGATGGACCAAAAACTTCACTTGAATTGATGCAATGGAATAATGTTCCAGAAATTGATTACCAATTTTTCGGTATGTGTCTTATTGGCAATAAGCAATGAGAGTCAGTTAGTATGTTAGTATGCTTTGTGTAACTCTGGTATAAGTAGACAAGCATCACATACCAAGAACATGAACTTTCTTTCTTTCTTGTTATCTTCCACTTGTGTATGCAGTAATTTCTCTTATACAAATAATTGTGTTTTAAGTGTTTGGCTCTGGAGGTTTAAAGTGCATGGTTTTTTGAATGTGTTTGAAATTCGGTATGTTATTGACAGATCATCCCAGTTGAAGGTGATTTTCAAGTGAATGGTGAACCCCAGAAATCATTTGAAGAAATTTTGCCTGAGATTGTTATTTCCAAGTAAGGTTCAAAACTCCTATTTTAAATTTAAAACATAAAGTACAAATGATTTGAACTCTTATGATATGAAAACCTTCATAAATGATTCGATAATATTGTGAATGCTGACACTGTCAATATTCATTTTAACAGGGAGCTGAGTTTACTTGGAGAGTCTCTTGAGAATGTAAGAATTTCAAACATTTTCCATCAGATAATTAGTTTGTGTCATTCTGTCAGTCAATAAATTAAATAAAATGCCTAAAAAGGTGTCAGTTCATTAATTTATTGCTGTTTTGTTTCCAAATGTTAAGGACAATGGGACCACAACCTTCATCACTGTCCACAGGTTGGTACTGCTCTTTACTTCTTAATACCATTTGATACCTCTCTTTCTTGCCTGAGTAGCTAGCATTTTTTGGGGATCTTTGAAAAATGAAGCAGCAATGCAGCAAAGGTACAGAACTCAAAGAATTGGAAGCTTCACAGATGGAGGCTTTGCCAGTCATCAAAGACCCAAACAACTGTTTGCTACCAAGGATAATTCTTTGCAATTCAAAACTGGCAAACAAAGCCTTGCAAAGGTGTCTAGGTTTCAAGAACGCCTATGATATTGAATGTTTAAAATGATTAAAACCTGGATTTTGATGGAATTCAATTTTTTTTTACATTCGTAAATAACCAGACAAATTGTTGGGCCATCCACGGAAGTGACTGTCCAAAACTTACATTTTGCTAAGCATTGTCCATTGTCCAGTCGCTATTTCGTGCAGTGATTAAACTCTTCATTTTACACATTTCTGAATGCTAAATTTCACTTTTTTTACGTTGAATTCTATTTATTGTTAAGTGTGACGTGTATTCAAGGTGGATATCCCAGCCATTTGATATCGGAGTGGGACAAATGGGATACTAAACACACATCAGAAAATGACAAGCCTGGTAAGAGATACTCAATAAACTGTATTGACATTTGGCTCTATATTTTGTGCGCATACTTTTTCAGGCTCTGAAAAGGATAAGCTCATCCTTTGACTCCTAAAAGTGACTGGCATCTAATTTCTCCTTACAATATCTCTCCAGAATCAAACATTAAGGTTAAGGGAATAAAGGAAATGATCAACCACTGAAGAAGCTTTTAATTGTTTAAAACAATTCCTTATCAGCACCTTAGGAAGCGTAAATAGAACAGTATGGTGAATTATGCAAACTGGTGTGAGAGTGTAACGCTTTAATAGCGATTTAATTGCTCAAGTCTCCCTCAGGTTTCCCGCTTTTAGATACAATTTACATCATTTTGCCTCTTCTCTCACCCCTAATCACACTCTGGCTATTTGGGTATTCAGGTATACCCGGGTTTAAAATTAAAAATATTAACAGCTGTCACTTTTTTACTTTAAGATATTTCCTTATTCTATAACCTTCTTCATGTGATGTGCTGTTCTGCTTTTGTTGATACTGTAGATATCTTCCCGAGTGATCAGTTCTTCATCGTGTTCGAGTTTTCAAATGGCGGCAAAGATTTGGAGAGCTTTGAGTTCAACTGCCTGTCAGAGGCATGGAGCGTACTGCATCAGACGGCCCTTGGACTGGCGGTGGCTGAGAACGCGCTTGAATTTGAGCACCGTGATCTGCACTGGGGAAATGTTTTAATTTGTAAGACTGAGGACCAGCTTGTAGAGAGCACTTTGCAAGGAGAGAAAAAGCTGGTACCGAGTCATGGTGTCCGAGTTAGTCTGATCGACTTTACTCTCTCACGGCTGAAAAAAGGTACCCAAATACAAATACATATACAAAGAGCAAGTTTCTATTGAGTCGAAAGAAATGCGATTATTACGTTAGTTTTGCTTTAATTACCTCTGTGATTGATCAAGAGAACTCGGGCCACCCTCTCAACCAATCAGATGTAAAACTTAAAAAAGCGACGTGGTTGCACACGTTTTCCGCCCTTGCTGGCTTGTTTTTACTTTGAGTTTACATTGGCTCTTTTTTCAGGAAAATTTCGAAAAAAAAATTCCAAGTTCTGTCCAAACCAGACCATTTAAAAACGTCCGTTCCATTTTTTACGCCGTCTTTAAATGTTATGATAAGTTAATCAAGGATTTTTGTCTCTAGTTCTCTACGATGCTTTATAATTTCTTTCGGATTAAAAGTCCCTCTCTCTTTTTTTTTGTTTTGTTTTTGTTTTCTTTTACTGCAGATGGCGTGACGGTGTTTTGTAACATGGCAGAGGATGAATCGTTGTTCACTGGCAGAGGAGACTATCAATTTGATGTGTATCGGCTCATGAAGAAAGCGAACAAGTACGTACTGTTTAACTGCACGAGTAGCATTAAGAAAATTGTCGTGTTTAAGCGCTTATCCTATCGGAATTTACCCTCCAGAAAGTCTAACTGTTTAAGGGGGAGAATCAAGGTTTTTTCCTCGCTCACCACGTTTTCAGAGAAGCAAAATCCCAGTTGGCTCGTTAGCTCAGTAGCTAGAGCACTGCACCGGTATCGCAGAGGTCATGGGTTCAAATCCCGTACAGCTAATGGAACCTTCTAGCGTTCTCTTTATCCTTGCTAATTATTTGCTCTACGGGACGCGACTCTTTCCACCCGCAGGAATATTTGAGACGAGTCCGGGACAGGTTTGCTGGGGGTCTGGCACTGCTAAACCCCTAACGGACCTCTCGAAGAAACGTTCGTGCTGAAATGGTGATGAAGAGGACCTTCTCGCCGGCTCAAGCTCAAGTGACTGACCAAAGTCTTAGAGTGAATGATTTGAACCATGTTGTGTTTATGTGAGCGCTTAAAGGAAAAACAAGTTTTATTGTCCTTCCTTCCTGTTTCATAGGAACGACTGGGAGCCATTTGAGCCTCACTCAAACGTGCTTTGGCTTCACTACCTTGCCGACAAAATGTTAAAGAAGAAGAAATACCCGAGAAAAGATAAAGAAACGGAGACACAGCTGAAGATGTTCTTGAGACAAGCAAGAAAATGCTCCTCTGCCACAGACATTGTTCATGAGCTTTTCGCTTAAAATGGGAAAATCAAATTACAATTTTTTTTGGACCAATCTGGCTTAGCAAATAGTTTCTATGAAACTTCAAAGAAGGGATAGGTGTTTACTCGCTATGAGTAGCATGTAAAGTACATGAGTTAGAAGAAGTGTAAAATCAAAATCAATATGTAAATAGACGATCTTTTGGATTTTAGAATATATATCATAGAGCTCAAATTGTTAATAATCGATAATATGCCGATGCCACTTATGTTCGCTTTGTTCCCCACTCACCCCACCTCCCCTTTTCAACCAAATTGTATCGTGGACAATTCGGAAAAAGGGAAATTGATACAAAATTACCAATTTGACCACGTTGTAATATTGAAACTTTTATCAGCAATATTGCATTTTAAGAGGTTTTAATGCCTACTAACTGGGTTTTCTTTAAATTCTCAATAGCATATCGTGTAAATAGTAGCCGATATTATTAAAATTGCAATTCAATCTAAGGGGTTATGATTTTATCTCCATGTTAAGTTCTAATTACTGTCTGTACGGCAAAAATTATGGAACCGACCTATAACAGACGGAACTGTCCAGAGTAATATAGACTAGGCCTAAAATACGACCAAACCTATCCCTGTTTGAAATAGACGGAAACATCCGACAATTGACAGAACCTTCCGAAAAACATCCGAAACACACGAAAACATGCCAAGTAAGATACGTCCAAATAGACCTTTATTCGTATTACACGAAGTTTCCCAGTAATCCCTAGCCAGACCGCTGTTTATATGTTATCGCTGGCAATGCTGACCTGTTCGATGTCCGTAAGACTGGCACTAATTTGTTGCCAAGTACAGTTCAGAATCACAAACAATATGGCGTCCGCTAGCAAGTAACCTTGCATATCTGTGAATCTCTTTGTTTTACAAGCTAAAAACGGGGGTACTTTAATAATTTTCCCTAGCTTCGAGTAAGAAAGAAGAAGCAGGACATATAGGAGACGTAGATTACCACAATTTTAAACAAGTGTTTTCGCTGATTTTCAAAATGGAACACAAGCGTTTGTTAAAATGTTGTGTCGAGATTTTAGATTCGTTTAATCCAAGGATTCATGGTGTTTTAGAACACCTTAATACCTGCCTGGCAACAAAAACGGTAAGCCAAAATTTTAGTCCTTTAAAGGAAAGCGTTTGATGATAATTATGTCCATTTTACGTTTATATAAGGTAACTTCTGGAACTTGATCAGCTTTTTATTGATTTTCGTCGTGCGGTTAATTAATGTCTCATTTTGGTGAACTTCTGTTCTCTTCAGGATCTTGGAGAAAGTGATGAATCTTTTCTTACAGAAGTGTTTTCTGGATGCGTGCAGTACACAAATATCCTAAAGGTATGCGTCTTAAAGTGGTTTCATATTTACCCATTCAACTGTCTGCTCTGTTTTGTGGTGAAATGGTAAAATTTCCACACAGCCCCATCCTACATTATGCATTCAGTTCTTGGATAGAGAAGCAATAACAAAGACAATACATTGCCATTGGGAAAACAGATTTGTTTTCCAATATTATGGGGCTATGCGGAAATTTTACCAGTTTTACGTTTACTTCTGGTAGTGTCACATCAAAGCTACTCATTTGGCTTTGATTTTAGTTCAAAATGATTCAGGATTTCTGAAAGTGGGGAGTGTGTGTGTGTGCATATGTTGGGCAGGGGGAGGGTGGGGGTTCAGTCATGAATTTCTATGATCTTTACATGAGCTGGCTTATACTGCTACTCTACCCTTTGTATCAAGGGGATAGTATTCATACAATAAGAAGGACCACCATTTGAAATATCTCAAAAGGTACTAATAAAGTTTAATGCTCTGAAGATTCTTCAAATATTTAAGTTTCTCCAAACCTGAAATATAATTTTTTTTTATGTTATTCATCAATAGGTTGTTGTAGATGCATTCTATGCTGATATTGGCAAGACTTCCCTTCGTGTTGACAAAAATGTATATACTGGTAAGTGCTTTAATTTACAGGTATTGAATCTTACCCTCATAGTTTGTGGTAGTGCAGTTTGTACAATATGGTAAAAACTTGAAGGTACCTTGGTAAAGTCTGTACCTGAGCCAAGTAGCCCACCCCACTTGAGCTTATCTTAGATTCCATAGTATGATGTAACTAGGATATTTCTGCTTCTCCATGGATGGGATAACTGTCCAGCTTAAGCAGGGGTTTCAAAATATTTTGAAGTAGGTATCAGACTCTGCAAAAATGGATGACTATGAGAAGTTCATTAAAGGCCAAAAAGTAGTTACATGTATTTTGACCATAGTAACCTGAGAAACATGTTTTCAAGTAGCCGGCAGAACCCCAGCAGTCACTGGCTTGTTTTGAAACCCTTGCTTGAGTTTATCCCTTGGCATTTCATTAATTCAGCAATACCCATTTACAGTATACTCCTGGATGGTCAGAGAGGCACTGTGAAAGTATCTGGTGTTTTGCCCAATTACAAAACTTAATGACCCACTTAGCTATTGAACCTGGACCTTTCGACTTGAAGTCCAGCGCACTGACCGATTAAGGCCACCAAATCTCCCAGTATGTGACTTGAATTATATTCAGCTGGTTCTCTTGACAGGCTTTCATCTTTTCTTTTAGTTCTGGTGTATTTGGCTCTCTACAGACTTGATGAACTGGGCATTGCACATTTTAGGAAATTTGTCATGAGCCATGAAGCAAACAAGATGCACAAAGTAAGAAATGCAGTAACATAAAATCATTTCTTCTGAACACAACAGGGTCAATTTTGTCAATTTGATAAATATTAAATAAAGGATGATTAGTTATATAATACCATGATATTTTCAGAACTGACTCTTTCTCCCGTAAGGGTAAATGGGATTTAAATTGTACAACAAATTTCTCCTTACAGCATCACAACTGAATCAAATATTAAGTTCATGAAAATAGGGAAAATGATTGCAAACTAAAGAAGCGTTTGATGGTTAAACAAATTCTCCTTGTCAGTACCATATGTATTTAAAGATATCAGTGTGGGGAATATGAAAATTAAAGTTAACATTGGTAGTGACACAAGGGGTTATTGAATCTGAAACACAAGTCCAAGTCTGTTGTTACCTGTACATGTTATGTGCCTAGAGTACTTTGTGTACATAATTTATTTTATTTTCCTTTTATTCCAGTTTCTCTCATTCGTGTTCAATGAAAGCAACATAACAACATGGATGAAAGATGAGGTAATTGAAAGCACATTGTCTGGCAAAATTTTTCCTCTTAGTCTGTCATCAAAACTGGTGATTTTGTTTTACTTATTAAAAAGTTTTAACCATAGTAATACTTTTTCTTTTCCTTTAACAGTGGTGTAAACATTACGAACACAGTTATGTTCAAACACATTTGATATCCCCCCTTTTGAGGCAAGTATTTTATTCTGAGTTAGTCAACAATTAACTCTTTAACTCCTAAGATCTGATTGTTAATTCTCCCCTCTAGCTGCTACACATCTCTTTGTAAATTAGTTATGAGAATTTGTTGCTAGATCAAGATAGCAACTTCTATTAGATAAGTTTGAATATTCTCATTACCTGTGTGCTGAATAATGTATGGATATTATAGGGAGAAGTTTCATGTTAATCACCTCTGGGAGTTGAAGGGTTAATTAACTGGTAAAGCAATAACCTTTCCAGGTGAACTGCAATTAAAGCACTTATTTCATTTACTGTAAGGAAAATTCTGCCCATCTTCTTCTCTTCTTCTCCTCCTCTTTTTTTCAGACTTTTTTTTTTCCTGCTAGTGCTTACTGCAAATTGCAGCTCACCATATATTTACAAGTAGGATCATGGCTTTACTTGATTTTCATTTGCACATCATTAAAAAATTGTGGTTACAGGTAATTACTAGCAATTTTCACAAACATTGAGGTGAATAATACTCAGTGGATATTAACCAAGCTGTAAAGCATGTATGTTAGATATCATTATTAATGCATATCTTTATTTATTTTATCTTTTCTTTTTCAGATGGTTACCAGAGTTAAATGGTCTCATTACTGATTTAAGAGATAAATTAGCCAACAAACAGAAGCCCAGAAAATCAAAACCAGCTACAGGTACTTAGCAAAGACTAAAAATGTTCTTTCTATTATTATTTGGAAACACAGGTTCAAAGGTGCAGAATTGTCAGCTGCATTGCTTAACAATGCATTACTTAACCTCTGGTTAAGAGGGAAGGTTTAGGGAGGGACTGGGTGCCCCATCTTTTTAAATTTTTTTTCTATATTTCATTTTATTTCCAACTTTTTAATTCCAGTTATTTACAGTGATATATGATATTTACATAATAATCTTAAAAATTACAATTTCCTTGATTGTGATTGGTTTAAAATACTCCTATTTTCTACTAATTCACTTGCCAAGTTGTTATCAGACAGTTTGTTAACAGACGGTATGTCATTGGATGGTTCAATAAGCAATCACATTTGAACTTTTAGTAAAGATCAACTAATCACAACCTTGGTTTCAATTTTCCCTTTTTTTTCATGACCTGGCTATTTTTTCTTTTCTCAGAAATTTTAATTGGTAACAAGACTTTGTTTTGTTGAATTCTGTCTGTAATCATACTTGTGATAAACAAATCAGACTCCCATTATGCAGTTGTTCAATTTTGTTATCACTCATATCATTACACACTGAATTGGACTCCACTCAGTCCTATCACCATTACTTATAATTGTCAACACTTGACTTGAGGTTTCCTTATCTTCCTTAGAACCAAAGCCATTTAACCTGACAAAACCTCGACCAAGAAGTGTTCCTATGCCAGAAAAGGTAAGGAATCCATGTGGATTTGATATTTCTTTCAGCATGAGAAGTGATAACTTGATGCTTTAAAGTACATAATTATACAAGTATGAGTGACTTTAAATAGTCAAGTCCAATACACATATATATGTCTTTTTTGTTCAGTTGGAACTAAACAATTCTCTGTGTTTTCAGATCCCTAAATTAAAGAAGTCTAGACAGGTAGGTGTCTGTCAAGCTTCCTAGTACTGAACATTCAGTGTCAGCAGTTGCAGTATGTGTTGAAATTTTCTTAAGTTTTGAAGTGACAAGTTTAACTTAATCAATGTTGACTATTAGAGTTTTTTTTTTTCATCTTTGATTGGAAAGGTCCCTCAGACTACATATCATGCACCTGTTGAGGAAGATGTTATGGCTAAGATTAGGGAAGAAAATCGGAAAAGAGCTGAGGTGAGTGTAAATGTCATTTTATAATTCAATACGAAGTAGATAACATTTGCCCTGTTTTCTTTTGAGGGTCTTCTTCCTTAAATCAGGAAGAGCTCTTGCCATCACTTTTTGATGTAAATGTTGCAACTACAGGCTGATTTTTGATACTTGTGGTAGAAATATATTTTTTAGAATTGCACTGTCGGCCATCATTCCTGTACATGTACAGCTGTATGTACAATTTTGAAGTTGGTTAATGT